TAAGTGTTTTTCATTAAACTATCTGATAGAGCATTATCTGGAAACTATCCATTCTTTCCACACCTATCTATCTATATGTGTTTATCTATCTGTGTATCTAGGACTTCCCAGGTAGCACAGTGATAAAGAGTCCACCTGCCAATAGAGGGGATATAGGAGACATGTGTTCAATCCCTGGGTCAGGAAGATCCCCTGGAGTAGGAAATGGCAACCCACTCTTACCTGAAAAATCCCATGGGCAGAGGAGCCTGGCAGGCTACAGTCCATAGGGTCACAAAGGGTTAGACATGACTGTAGCGACTTAGCGCACATGCCAGCTTTATCTTATATCTCAGTTTGTTTGTAGTGAAAATACATCAATTTGATTACTTGTACAATTATCTGTACAATATTAAAACTTTTGCAAGCTCTAAAAGAGCAGATTGAAGGTGACTGATTCCTTTATCCACTACTGTTAAAGATAAGAATGAGTGATATGAAAGTGAGAGCTCAGGGTATAGGGAAGTAGAAGGAAAAAGGAAGTATACATCAAAAATCATAGGGTTACTTATAAGTATTTTTGAAGCTTCAAGTACTAAAGAGTTACTTTATCAATATCTGCACCTGTGACTTTAAGGTACCACTTTCACAAATAGATGCAGCATGCTTCTTCTATGTCAAAATCTTTATAAGGACTTTTCATGAATTATATTTTATTTTCAAAATCACACTCTCAATTGCACATATTTTAGCTATTTTAGAGAGTTACAATAATGGTTCAGTGATAAAAATTACTGAAATTAGTTCAAATATGATTGAAAAACTTGAAAATGATCCCAGGTATTCAGAAACGCAGTAACATATAGGGTATTTGTTTTTCAACTATATTACAGCAAAATATCCCTCAAACATTCCTACTTCTTTAGGTTCTCATTACATTTACCTGATTCAAATACTTATCACTAAGCTATCTACACTGTTTCTATCCTAAATCCTTACCATTATTATCTTGACACTATTATTGATTCTGTAATTAAGTTAACATTTCATAAACACTGATTTCATTCATTCATTGAGTCTCCTGGTCAAAAAAATAATAAAGTACAAAGAGAGAGAAAACAAACAAAAAAGAATTCTGGTTCAAAGTAAAGTCCAGATTTCAAAGGTCAAATTTTGCCTGAACATCTAAGATACTCTGTATAACATGAGAATAAATGCTATGAAGAATTGAAATGTTAAGAATTCTCTTCCTTTAAACAGTAGACAGTTTATTTGGACAGGTGAGATGTACTAACATAAAGCACTGCAGAATGGTCTTCTAGTATCAACATATGGGCACGAAAAACAGAGAGCTAATTTGGAGTGTTTGGGAGTGGTTAGAAAGGCTATAGTCTGAAATGATTCAAGGGACTATAGTTAAAATAATTTGGCTTAAACCAGGTTCTAAAGTATTGAGATGGTTTGAATGGAAAGAGTGTCGGCTATACGAGGGGTAACAAAACACAGATGAGAATGAATGTGGGTCATTGACACTACAATAGGTCCCTCCCAGTGTTCTTATAATTCTAGGAATAATTTTAAGCTAAATTAGGGAGAATTTTGATGCTTGACATTAGAAATGAACATTTTTTTAAGTCATGGAAAACCACTGAAAATTTGTGGGCAAGGAATCACCTTGATAATTCAGGGTTTGGGAAAAATTAATCATTAAAATATACAATGAATGACAACAAAAGAGATTGGAAATGAAAAGAAAAATTAAGTTTGGATGAAGGAGTGGAGGGTAAAATCTTGGGAAACACACACACAAAAATATAAACATTTAGAAAGCATCCTTTTACATGTGAATTATAGTTGTACTTAGCGGTGTTTGGGAGTTGAAGAATGTCATTTCCTCTTTCCCTGGCTCAATATTTAATACATGCCTGACAGAGAATTGTGATGGGAGGAGAAAGGAAAGATAAGAGGCCAGAGTAGTGCCAGCATTTAATTTCAAACTCCTGCCCTAGATATTGGGGTAGAAGGATATGGAGAAAAAAATTTACATTGTCATCACTGCATTTAGTAGAAAGGCCTATATGAAACCAGTGCTTGGAAAATATGTTATCTAGTACCCATTTACGCTTAATTCTTTTTGCACTTCTGACATTTCTTTCTGGTTAGATAGTAAATATCAGTTGAACTCTTTCTCATACATGTGTTGATTAGATAAAGGAAATTAAACAGTGATTATGGATCAACACTGTCAAATAATTAAAAACCAAAGGAAACCTTAATTTATAATAAATTTCTAGATGCAAATTTTGATTTATATAAATGGTCCATTTTTCTTTTATCATCAACCAAGGCATTAATCATTAATCCAGTATATCAACAGGCTTTCAATGTTGGGGACAATGCAGTAAATTAAAAAAAATGATCCTTGCCTACTTGAAAATTTATGTAAATATGCTACATATAGTATTAAGGTATTCTATTGATTCACATACAAAAACTAATATAAGCTTCAGAGGCTGATCTGTGAAAACTATCTTCCTTACACAGTGAAAAAGATCTGAGCTCCTTTTCAACATGGACTAGATCAAAGGAACCATGCTTCCATTTTAGTTTAAAAACCTTTTCCTTTCATTCCAAATTAATAGCCTGTATCATCAAGAATGCTCATCCTGGACCACCCTGTTTGCGTCCTTATCCCATTTCTCGTATAAAGGAAGCTCTGTGGTGACATGGAAAACAATAGGCACTATTTCTGGTCTCAGTCTTCAACTCATCAGCTTTGTGAATTTTTGTTTGGTGGGGAGGGGATGATAGCATGTGGGATCTTAGTTTGTCAACAAGGGATTGAACCATTCTTCATGCACTGGAAGAGGAGAATCTTCACCATTGGGCCACTAAAGAAGTCTCTCCCAGGTTTGTGATTTTAAACTAATCACACAAAAAAATGAGAGTTTAAAACTTTTGTTATCTACCCTGAATGGAAAAAAGTAAGAATTAAATGAGGAAGCATTTAATTGAAACACTGGGATATATAAAACCACCTGCTATTGTTTCAAGAATCTCAACACTGCTTGAGTATTTTTACAAAAATTATGTTTAATAACAATTAAAAAAAGAGAAAAGTGACATTATGGAATAGAAAAGAATGCAGAATTAACCTTTGAGGAAGCTGAAAGTAAATAATTCATAAATTTTCAGCTTGGAGTTAGCATTTCTTAAATAGTGGCAGAGCATCTCCCGTTCATGTGATTGATGAGGAGCAAACCTACCCTTCTCTCTCTGTTGGTACTCAGGCAGAAGAAACCTGTAGAGACTCTCAAAGAACAATCAGAGTAGTGCTGTAGGTACAGTGGGACCCCAGTCATAACTATTATAATTGCTGTCATTGTTCTTGCTACAATGGGAGTGTAGTATATTTTTTACATTGGAAGAAGTATATCTACCATATGGTTCCAATAGTGTAAAACACATTGGCTGGTACATCTTGGGCTTTCAGCATATGTTTTGTGATTCAGTTCTATGTCATACAACCAAGAACTGCTTATGAATCTTCTTAAATGTCTTGCCTGCTAAGACGCGTTACAAACGCTTCAAAGACATTGTTTCCTCTTTGCCTTCCACACCCAAAACCAAAATAGTCTAGATTTTCCTTGCTTTGAATTAACAGCCAGAATGACCTCACTCAGTAAAAACCTGGAGCAAACTCAGCCAAAAATCCAGATATGTTCAAATTCATACCCACACTTATAACAAAGAGATTAGAAAAGCTTCACTGTGCCTCTGTGCATCACTAGTATGTAACAGGAAGTGTTGCTGCAGGAAGTCAAAAAACTTATGGAACAGGTCTGTTAATTCATCAGTGTGGGTGACATTTTGGAGATTAAAAGAACATGTTTCTGTCACTGTGTAGAACACGTTTAGCAGTATCTATCTTAGGTGCTATTTTATTTTGCACTGTATCAAAGAAGGACAAACACTAGTTTTGCAAATAAGGGAATTTTATTTCCCCCTAGATTGTTGTTTATGTCCTTTACCTAAATGTTGCACAGTAGTTGAAACCTATTGACATTCTTCTCCAACAAAGCGAATGAACTTCTTTTTCACCTTTGTTTTCCATCTGAGCTATAGAATAGGTTCTCTTTTAGTCATCTATTTTATACACTGTAGTGAATATATGTTCATCTCAATCTGCCCAATTTATGCCTAAAAATGCCCTAATGTGGGTAACAGAGCACTCATCAGCTAGAGTCAGCCTGAAGTGCCACCTGAAAATGTCCCCATGTAAAAAGCTTTCGTTAACTTCCGCTCACTTCTTGGGGAAGGTAAACTTAGATATTAATCTCTGGTAGAATCAAAACAGGAACTGTCGTAAATAATTTGCTTAAATTGTTTGTCAAATCTTCATGAAAGAATTCCAAAACACGAAGCACACAGGACTATTCTATCCCTTTGCAATTAGCATCTTCAACATCTTCAGTCATGTTCTCAGTGCAGTTTTATATATTTTTTCTGGCAGCTTCCTACTTTTGTGTATACTCTTCCGTATCCGTTCTGATAAACATGAAGTTTATCTTTCTCTTGTTATTTTAAGACTGTAGGTTCCATGTCTTTCTGAAAAGAATATATGTAAAATTGCAGGGGCGATCATTAAAAACTGTTGAAAATCAATGAGCTTTAAATGAAAACAAATTATTTATCTTGTAAAGTTTTAACTCCCTAGCCATCTGTCCTATTCACGCTCCTTATTTTTACTGTGGTTATAGCTGCATCATTTTAAATAAATAGTCCTTATTTTCTTAGGCCTTTTCATTAATACCAAGGAACTTCTGACTAATGGAAATAAATTTACTCTTCTCATGGAAGTATGGAGCTGAGATTTGATCCTACACATCTTTGAACCATTCTGGGTATCTCCCTTTGGATATAACTCGTGAACTTAAAAATTAAAAAAGAAAAATCATTTTTTCTTCCTCCTTTCCCAGTCATATGTTCAAACCTGTTGCACCGTCTTCACCCCCAATTGCATGGGATGGTTTCACCACGCAGTGCCCATGGGGGATTTAGAGGTCCTCCTAGATTCCTCCATCATTTCAACTGTAGCCAACTGTTGTCATGACTATGTTTTGAATATATTCACGCTCACCAGCCACATCTACCAGGAATACAGCCACAGTCCAGGTAATACAGTGGCTGCATTACTCACTGTAACTAAGAGGCCACACACCATTGGACCAATGGAGCATCTTCGTGAGAGAGTTAGAACGGGCTTGCCGTAGGATCTGGACTTGTGTTAGAAGACTTGTGAAGGCTTCAAGGAAGCAGGAGTTTGCTCTGGATTGAGTAATGTTAGAGATAAACTGATGACAGCAGTGACACTGGTTGGTACCGTTGTGTAAGTTTTATGTGTGCACAACCTTATATGTCAACTTATGTACTCACTGCAGTGTGCTCACTGCCTGAAATTTCACTTCCGTCTGTCACCATACAGCTGACCCCCTTTACCAGGCTGATCCCTTATCCGTGTCCCCTCTGGTAGCTTCTGCTCTGTTCTCTGTAGCTGTGTGTTTGCTTTTGGCTGGTTTGATTTGCTCATTTTTATTTTTATTTTTTTGCTTTCTCTATGCTATGTATAAGTGGAGTCATATGGTATGTGTCTTTCTCTGTCTGACTTGTTTCCCACATGGGTGCACATTGTATTTTAATAGTAAATGGAAATAATAAGAGAGAATTAAAAATGCAACTGGTTTTATAAGATGTGGCACTCCCTCTGGTTAGCGAGGAGAAGGGAGTCTGAGCCTTTCTGTGGCTTGCACAGTCTCCTTGTTTCTGTCGGGGTTCAGATGTGCTTATGGAGGCATCTTATTTGTTCCCAGTCCATGACTCACAAATACGATATTTGATAACGACGGTGAAGTAGCTGTTGGTACTGGGCCGTACTCTAGCCAACTTCAGCTCTGCTAATAAAGGGAGCAGTTTATTGTGATCCATCTCTCTCTTAGACCCTTTATCCCTCCACATGAACACCACTCTCTGAGGCTGACAGAATGCCTGCTTTTGACACTTACCTGTCCTCTACAAGAAGTTCCCGTCTCAACAGAAGATATTTTTTCTGTATTTTAAATCCTTTTAAATCTTTTCCTTACAATCTCAGCTGTGTATATTCCTCTGAAAACCATCTTCTAATGATATCTCCTTCTAAATGATGCCTTTGCTTCTCAGTTCCTCCAAATATTATTAAGACTATAAGCTCTAATATTAGAGTGTGGGCTGTGTTCACCTCACTTACCACTGTGTCCCCAGCACCAGCACAAATAATGAGCTATTATAGCACATATATTGAAAGAAAATGTGAACAACAATTTATTGTGTGCTTGTCCCTGTGTGAAGCAAGGTTAAGAAACGAATAACTACAGTCTTGCCTTCAAGTAGGTTCTATCAAATGGAAAATATTGAATGCTTTAATTAAAAATTGTGTAAATCTAATTAAACTGAATGGACTTCATCACTGTAAAAGTGTTCTGTTTGCTTATTTACCCTGGGGAGAGGAGGAGGGCTGAAAACATGGGTTAAGAGGAAATCATGGAAGTCCACATTGCTACCATGAAATTCTTGATTGCCCACACAAGCATTAGCTGATTGTCCTTCACTGTCATTTTGCTTCTTAGGAGCCAGGAGAATCGCTATTGTAGGAAAGTGTACATGTTAAGATCATGGTCACAGGGAAAGAATCCTTTGTTTTATAATTTAATGTGTAGGGAATCCCTCTGTAGCAGCCAGCACACTTAGAAAGGAAGTAAATGGCCATGAATATGTAATCAGATAGAGGTCCCTTGACAGAATAGCAACGTGGAGAAGCTTGACAGCTGTATGTTCACATACAGGTGTGGTTAGTCGGTCCCTTACTGAACGGTTATAAACTCTGAGAAACACAAGAACCACTTCCAGTTTCAAATAATCAGCATTGTTAGCAGGTTGTTCTTTTTCTCAAGATACCTGTGATAAATTCAGTGTACTTGGATAAGAATTTTAAAAGAAGAGCTTTGCAAAATGTATCGTGTAAACATTTAAACACAGATTGCTGTGATCAGCGGATTTCAATTCATGTTCTTCTCAGAGCATCAGTGTAAAGACACAGAGCAAATACCATCATCCACATTTGACAGATGAGAAAACACACAGCTGATCTGTCTAGTATCCACAGAAGCCATCACTTACAGACTGCAGAGCTGTTTCCTTCAGAGTTGATAGGATGCTACAAAGTCCTCAACAAAGTGCTCCGAGAAGCTCTGCAGGTGTCGTCTTTGTGGACGGATTTATGTTCCCAAGAAGATATTCCAAGAAGTGAGTTTGTGGTGTCTCAAGTCTCCGAGGTCACATATTTCTAACATACTAGAACAAGTTTAAAAGTAATCTGGTATACTCTATTCTTGGGCCCTATTCCACTGGGATAATACTCTTCGTTATGAATTGTATTTTGCTTTTTAAAATATTCCTGTCTTTTTTTACCTGGTAAAATTCTTAAGGAAAAACAGGGGGGATATAGGGAAGAGAGATAGAGAGAGGACAGAGCAAAATCTGTCACCTAATATTAATAGTGAAAAATATCTTTAATGAATGTGGCTAATTGGATGGTTTTACCTTAAAATGGCTATACTTAATTAAGATTTTAAAAAACACTTCTTAAGCTCCTTGGCCATTGACCATCTATTAGATACTGACCAAAGAGGTGATGTAGGTATTTTCACTATGAAATGATCTCTCTATTTGTATTGTGTATATATGCATGTGGAGCATCTCCAGGGGCTTTGTGGTAAAGAATCTGCCTACAAGGCAGGAGATGCAGGTTCGATCCCTGGATTGGGAAGATCCCCTGGAGAAGGAAATGGCAACCCACTCCAGTGTTCTTGCCTGGGAAATCCAATGGACAGAGGAGCCTGGTGGGCTACAGTTCTTGGAGTCACAGAGTCCAACATGGTGGTGGTGGTTTAGTGGCTAAGTCATGTCGGACTCTTGCAACCCATGGACTGTAGCCCTCCAGGCTCCTATGTCCATGGGATTCTCCAGGCAAGAACACTGGAGCGGGTACCCATTTCCTTTTCCAGGGAATGGAATGGACCCAGGAACCGAACCCAGGTCTCCTGCACTGCAGGCAGATTCTTTACCAACTGAGCTACCAGTCAGACATGACTTTGAAGCTAAATAATAGCAATAAGTATATGTACATTAATGTATATTGGGAGAAGGAAATGGTAACCCACTCCAATATTCTTGCCTAGTGAACTTTGTGGACAGAGGAGCCTGGTGGGCTGCTGTCTATACAGTTGCACAGAGTCGGACACAATTGAAGCGACTTAGCATGCGTGCGAGCATCGGAGAAGGAGATGGCAACCTACTCCAGTCTTCTTGCCTGGAGAATCCCAGGGACGGAGGAGCCTGGTAGGCTGCCATCTCTGGGGTCTCACAGAGTCGGACACGACTGAAACGACTTAGCAGCAGCAGCAGCAATGTACATTGATTGAATTTATAAATATATTTATATCAATATGTAGATTACAAAAGGAACAGTATTTAAGATTCAAAGTTAAAATTTATAGTTATTTGGATTACTTACTTTTAATCATCTTATTTATTAATTTTTATTTAGTTAGTTTTAACAAAGAACAATGTGTTTATTTCACTGAAATTCTTAACACCTTTTGGGAGTTGTCACATAAAATGCCCTAAAATTTTAAAAAATTCATTGAAAGGAAAAACATGAAAAAACAGACCCAAAATGTTAAGATTTTATTCACAAAGCTTCTTTTTTTTGAAAGTAAAAATGCTGTTACAATCTTGGTGCAACTAGTAGCCACAAAACAGTTGACTCACCAATCACAGCTCTCCAGGCTACAGCAAGAAACGCTTATTTATTTTATATAACAGACACACATATTATATTTACTATGTTCTAAGCATACTTTTTCTATCTATTCTGAAAAATTATAGATGTTTGTAGTATCCACTCTACTCCCATAGGTCTTCATGGCTCAAAATTAGTTTGGCTATATGTCTTTTCAAGTGCAATTCTCGAGGGGAATGATGAGCACATTTTTTTTTTTTGGAGCACCATTACTTATGTCTCATACAGATAGATGTCCTCTCTGGTGTATGCTCATCTTACTTAACACTGTTAGTTTTAAGCCAACTTGATTCATCTTAGAATTATAGAATGAATATATATTTTGAAAACAACACATTTACAAGTGTTTATAGATTGTAATTGTAGCTGTCCTGCTCTCTCTCTCCAGAAAAGCTGATGAGTTAGTAACTTAAAGGGAAGCTAAATAAAAATGCTCCAATGGTCCTTCAACTATCCAAACTTGTCCTAAATAGTACATAAACAAAATGACTTTAAAATTATATCAGCAATAAGAAACATTGAACAGTAGCTAGGCCTCCTTGGTGGCTCAGATGGTAAGGAGTCTTCCTGCAGTGTGGGAGATCCAGGTTTGATCCCTGAGTTGGGAAGATCTACTGGAGAAGAAAATGGCAACCCACTCCAGTATTCTTGCCTGGGGAATCTCATGGACAGAGGAGCCTGGTGGGCTATGGACCATGAGGTTGCCAAGAGTCAGATACTACAGAGCAATGTCACTTTCTTTCTTTCACAGGACATAAGAAAGCAGTAAAATCCAGAGCAATGCTTGTCAAGCTGTGACCAAAAGGTCCAGTGCCCACAAATTCCCCTATATACATGTTTGCTTTATTTTTTTAAGACTAGTCAAGTGCTGTGGTGAAAAGGGGGGAAAGAATAAAGTAGAATGAGGAGTTCAATCTGTAACTAACTGTGAACAATCAATTGAAATAATTCACTACCTTCAGACCAACCAAGTTTTTGCTTTTAATTTAGGTTTGCTATGTCAATGATAATTTTTAAATGGCCTAATCATTACATTTTGGATCATCTTGATAACTACATTATAATCTAATATCACACACACACACATATATATATATATGAAAGTCATGCAGTCCTGTCTAACTCTGTGACCCCATGGACTGTAACCTGCCAGGTTCCTCTGTCCATGGAATTGTCCAGGCCAGAATACTGGCTTAGATGTTGCCTTCTTCAGGGGATCATCCCAATCCAGGGATTGAACCCAGGTCTCCCACATTGCAGGCAGATTCTTTACCGTCTG